TGTGGCAAAGGAGGTAGGTGGGGGGAGTGGGGTGCGGGGGTCACTGGGAGGTTTCACTGGGGGTTGAATACAGAATGGGAGATGGGGTACTGTTTGGTGAGAGAAAGAGAAAAACAGACAACACACAACAGAAGCAGAGAACAAAACCTTACAGGCTGCCAGAGAAGCATTTATAGCCTGACCCTGAGCAGAAACCAAGAGAGAGAGCTTTTGAGGAGAGTGCTGGCTAGAAGAAAAAACAGTCATGACTCAGATCCCACCGTTAGTGTCAAGGGACAGCAGCTAAACAGACCATCTCTGTACTTATAAACCAAGTGGATTTGGTCTAGAGTCAATAAGATACAATAAGCATGAACCCCCTTTATGGTTATGCCATTTATTAGAAATGCTTTACAAATCTGAACTTGTCCTTTAATGCTCTACATAGTAGATCTTAATCTGTGTGTTTCACCAAAGCTCAAAGTGAATTGATGTAGCTGCTCTTTGCATCTGTTTTGCTTCAGGACTCAAATGTCCATATGTTATTTAATACATTATGGAGGTTGCATGATATTTCTGTTCTTCACAGTAGATAAAATAGATATAATAGAAGACCATTTTAGGGACACATCAATACAAATAATCTCCAACAAAGTGTAAATCAGGGCAGAATAGCATTTTTGTTATACATAATGCTTAGCACTTTACACATTCAATGTTCTTGACAAACATTAAATTATTAGTTCTCACAATGTCCAAGTGATGTTCATGCATGTACCATGGTATAGACATTTTTGAACAACTATATAGCAGTTTACAGTTCCTGTCATGCCCCTATCAGAAATTATTGTAAATCTTCAGTTGCTCAGTCTGTACAGTCAGTTTCTTTGATTTCTCTGCAAAGCCAATTTGAAAGCGCTACCACCTTCTTGGCTCAAAGTAACAAAGGTTTGATATGAAGGACAACTGACAAAAGACTTCTTATATCCTGGCATCAGTTACTACCCATGACTTAGCATTACAAGTGGTTCACATCCATGTTCCATGACAGAGATCACTGTACCCCGAGCTCACAACTTTATTCTCTACAAACTTTTTCTTGTATAAGAGAAAAATGAGAATAAAGTATGAAGTACAGAAAAAAGGTAATTCTGAGAAGGCTTTGTTCCCAGATTCTTTACACTTTGTTCTTAGGTTTTTGATCTGCATTGTGTCAGGGGGGCAGTAACTAACCTTAGATTTTCTTCCAGGTAAGGACTGATAGATTTAACGCTGGTGAACTCTGCACCTAAGATAGCTAAGGCACTGTTTTCTAGTTCAAGGCTGAACCTTGTTCTAGCACTGCTTGCCCCTGCTGACTCATGGTACTAGATTCTTGTTATAGAAATCCTTCCAGTGTTGCACACTGCTCAGTAAGTAAACTTAGGCTGTAAACAGAAGTTTCATTTGATCCAGATTAAAACTGGTGAGTACAGACATCACTCTTGCAAGTTGCATTGCTGTTTTCTGTCACCAGTAAGCAGCCAGCGAGAGCACACAGACTAAAAGGCTTGCCCCAGGAATAAACCTCAGTAACCTTGCAGATGTACAACAAGCTGTTCCAGGAAAAAGTATTAGTGCATTTTATACAGCATACTTCAGAGAGACTTGAAGCAGGATAATGGACACGTATGTTTTTATGCTCCCAGGACAAAAGACTTTCTCCTGAGACAAGTGCAAAATCTGTTCATTCATACCCCAATAGCCTGGCTGCATATTTTTTTCTTGAGGGGTGTAGGCAGAGTAAAGAGACATGATAGTAAACAGAGATTCCAAAGAACTGCAATAAAAATATTCTCAAAATTCAACAAGGGTAACTAGTTTCAACACTAGATGGCAAGAGAACCCTGAATGGGTATCTAAGCAATACTGTAAAGACAACACCCTGTAAAGCTCTGCTCCTTGATTGGGTCATTTATATTTACAATTTAGCACGTTAAGAATGTTACATTAATTACATAACACTCTAGCAACTTTAAATAAATTACAGAAAACAACAAACAAACAAACACAACCCCCCAAACAAACAAACAACCAATTAAAACCAAGCAGGAAAGGAAAACAAGAGATACAGGCATCAGAAACCCTGACAGTGACCTGACATGTGACTTTGTGCATGACATTTAAAAAACCTCCTAGGGATGTTGCAGAATTTAGGATCTGCAAAAAGCTTTTGGTTCCTGAAATACCAGGTGCTACAGAAGAAGTGCTGCTACTATTATTTATGGACAACAGTTTCTATAATGTGATTTCAGAGAGAAGTAAAATATTAAAATGACAAGAATAATGTACATTTATTCCAATAGAGAGAAAAAGGCTGAATTACATCACTCAGTTATGCCTTCTGCTTATAGCAGTCTGTCACTTGCTGTTTGCAGACGAAATGAGCAGAGCAGTGATCACAGAAGTGGTCCTGATTTCAGAGACACCTTTCATTGCACAAAGAGCAGGATGGCTACAAGTGCACTGAAGGTACTGAAGAGAAGATTTGTCTAAGCCAGTGATTCTCAATCAGGGTGCCATGACACCCTGGGGTGCTGTGAGATCCCTTTAAGGGTGCGGTGGAGTGCCACACCATATTAGCATGGTTAGGTGTGTAAGGACATCAGCTTCCATGGTACAGAACTAATATGGTGACTGGGAAATTGATTGTAAAAAGCAGGCATATCAAATGTGTTTCGCTTCTGGGAAAGATCTGGACAATGGGGCTCCTTGTGGGCTGCATCCACATTGTGAGAAGCCTTGCAGGGTGGATCCTAACCCACCTCTACCAGTGGGGTGAGCAGCATTAGGAAGCTGTGGGGTTTAAGACAGCTGTCACTTGCCCCACCATGGCCAAAATACATCCCCAGTGGGGCTCTGCACCCCAGATTTTGGCTGCAGGCCCTACCCCTGAGTTCTGGCTGCTGAGTTTTTTTCTCTCCATCTCTAACTGACTTTCATAACTTGCTGAACCTTGCTCTTAACACACAAATTTTAAAGATGCATTGCTAATATGAATATTTAGTTCCTTTTCCTGCTTAATAGGCATCAATAATGGCAGGTATTCAGTGCTATGTTGTTTGTTTCTTGCCCACTATTTTCACCTGCAAACAGCCTTTGTATGTCTATGAACAGCAACACTATTTGACCACTCTCAGCAACTTCATTCAGTCCCTTGGAGGGGTGAAACTCCTTCCTCTCTGCAGAACACTGACATTTTAATGTCACACTGAAAAACAGACTATCACTCTGATGTGATGCCCCGTTTGTGTAGAAGGCTTACCCTGTCGTACTGCCTGTCTGAGGTCAAAGTTATGTTTGCACTGCATGTCTTGGAAGACCCAGGCTTCTGAAGTCACTGTTATGGGTCATCTGTATATGCCATAGGGCAATGGTCTGGGGCCTCTGTAGACTCATGGATACAGTCACTGCTCTATTCTGTAAAACAGCTTTGTGACATCGCTGGTTTGATCATTCCTGTGTCCAGCACTACTTTTTTGCTTGCCTGTGAGAGGCTGCTGGTATGGTAAATAATACCACACAAAGGTCTTCATTTGACTTAGATCCACTGTGAGATCATCAATATGGTAACAATACAGCAGGATATATGGACTGCCATTAGGGGTGAGAGTTTTACTGTGCTGGTTGTTCTACACACACGTGGTAAAACATTGGTCCTTTGTCCAAAGTCCTTACTGTCTAGCTCTAAGTTAATGACTGTGATTGGCAGTCATACAGATCTGATTCGGTAGCGAATGAAATCAAATTCCTGTTGCAGGTTAGTTCACTAGAATGCTGACACTATCTCATTCACCATTTTGGTTTCATACCAAAGGCTCCCTGCAGAAGGGCACGCAGAGCACCAGAGCTAAACATTCTTCTCTGCTGTTGCTGTGTACAAATCCCTGATCTGCACCTCCCTATACAATTTAATCTGAGTTTCTAATTCTGTTAAGGTACTATCAGTGACTCTCTCTGACTCATCCCTCACAGACAGGGAGATGGCATGGATCTGATTTCTCTTCTGACCTTTTATATACGCTAATGTCAATTCACTAACACATTCTTCAGTTACTCCTGATTGATTAACCGAGATGTAAAAAAAAAAAAAAAAAAAAGTAAGACTCAGATTCTGTGATTTAAATGATCATTTTAGGATTTAGCCATGGGAAGTTAAAGGAATTCTTGAATGCAGGTGTCCAGTGTCATATCAAGAATAAGTCACTATTCATTGCTATAGTTGCCTTCTCATTAAAAATATTGCTGCTGGTTGTGAAGAATCTGTAATCACAACAAGAATGTTGGTAAAGGGAAAGGATGTTTTCCACATGCGTTCTGCTTTCGTTACCTGGGCTATTCTATATTAAAACGTGCATTAAAAAGGTCTACAAAGGTATCTACCCAGTTATAACTTAAAATACAGTTGTAACGGAGTACAGTGTTAAGTAGTTAAAACATACCATGTATGGAAACTGGACCAGTCACTGTTTATGCTGAACATTACTTAATTGGCGGCAAAAACACAGAATTTTTCTGAAGAACTGTTTCACTGTCGTGTTCTGCCTGGTCTATCTTGACAGTTTTTTCTGCTGGGTTTTCTGCTTCTTTTTCTGGAATAGTTTGCTCATTTGTGTTCCGCTCTTGGTTTTCTATTGTGTCTGAGGGAGATATGATGGGAGTTAGTCTTGCATTTACAGCAGCAGACTTTTCTGTCAGTTAATAGTTCACTTTGCCAAGAGGGTCATGAAAGTTGTTTTCTTCTGGGAAAATTTCAATAAAATTATAGTATGATACTGCAGTTAAATATGTAAGTTCTATAAGTTCTGTAAACCTTCAATGGATCAGTCAGTTATTTGTCCAGGATTTCAGAAGAACCATCACCCCAAAAGCAGTTTTTATGCACTTAAAATGGAAATGCATTGTGACAGGATTGGTGTCTGAGACAAAGGCTGTTTTTAACTGAACCTATGAAACTTTTTATTTACTCTGCTGGCTACAAATAAACCTTAGGACCTTTTATTTCTACAGAAGCAAGAGGTGCAAGTGGGTGTGGGTATGGCCAACCATAGAGATTGGTTTATTTTACTTCAGCCACTAGTTTTACCAGAGCCATTGTCTGAACATTAAAGAACAGAGAAATTATGATGACCATGATGAATATTATTAAGTATATACAGAAGTTAAAATATTAAGAAAACTGTACCTTCTTGTCCAGTTAGTGCATATTTATGTACATTTTCTTTTTTCTTCTCTGGGGTTAGAAAGGAGCTGTCACTTACTCCCCTTGTAGTCTGGGGTTTTGGTCTGGGTTTCTGTGTTTTTGGTCCTTGGATCCACTCATGCTGCATTGCTTCATCTGGAGTCATGCGTTGTGCAGGTTCCCACCTTACATATTGGTGTCAAATAATTAGGTAACAGTAATTGTTATTCTTTTTATAACAGTATGAAAAACCTGCCATGAGGGCACTTTTCACTGTCAAAACAAGAGGAAATCTGTGCGATTGTAGCCACACTGCCATTTATTTCACTCTTTTGCTTCCTTTCAACTTGCCTGAGTTACTGTGCAGTGACAAAGGGCCCATTTTTTCCACAAATATGCACATGAAGCTTCTGGTATTAACCAGGAGGTTCACTGTCTATTTGTATCTGAGACACTTAAAATCTTAAGAATGTTGATCTTCATTTTCAGAAGTGGTGCTGACAATCAGACAGACACCTCTGGCCACTGGTGCCACTGAAGGAGCCACCTGGAGACCTGTTCGGTTTCCCCAGCTTTCAGCAGCTCCTTATCATGTCCCTGCTGCAGTGCTTCCTCTAGGCAGCAGGTGGGAAGCTGCAGCTGGGTGGGAACATGGGGCTGGGGCTGGCAGGAGTAGGGAGCCTGGGGCCTGCATCCAGTGGGGTGGCAGGAGTGTGGAGCTGAGGTGATCAGGGTGTGGGTGTGTGGGTTTTTTGGGGTAAGGAACATAGGGACCCCCCACATACATGCCCCCATGGCACACAGCCCCCACTGCTGGCAACAGAAGCAGGCAGCAAGTCCTTGGGATGGTCACAGCCCATGCAGGTGCAGCCACCTGGTGGCACGGGGCTCCCTGTGGCTCATGTGCAGCTCCCAGGGCTTGCACGCCACCAGGGGGAAACCCCACTTTGCCACACTCCCTCCCACCACATGCAGCTTCTGGGACTCCACTGGAAGTGGTGGGGAGACCTGGACCTTCCTTCCAGCGGAGCCCCAGGAGCTGCACATGGTGGTAGGGAGCCGGGAAGGCAGTCAGCTCCATTATTTATGGCTTCCCTCCAGGTGACATGCAAGTCCAGGAAGCTGCATGTGGGTCCTGCACAATACAGGTGGGCAGGCCTAGCTCCTCTCTTTGCTACCACGTGCAGCTCCTAAAACTGGTTGGAGCCATGCATCGTTGGGCAGCTGTGCCTGCGCAGGCCATAAGCACCCCAAAGGCTTGTTGCTTGCTGCCTCTACTACCAGTGGCAGGGATTGTGTGCCATTCCACTTCAACATTATTCTTTTAATATTTCATTTGTTCAGAAAACCAGAGACAAACAATTATTTACAGTGCACAGAAATATTAACAAGAGCTGTTTCTTGTGAAAAGGAGAGAAAAAGATTTTTTTCTCTAAACACATTACACTCCAAAACAATGCAGCTGCGAAGACAGCTGCAGGAAAAGCAGTCTTTAAGCAGTCTAGTAAAAAGCTGGTGAGTACTGATCAGATACTAAGTTTATACAGAGATTAGTTAGTGAAAATGCTGTGGGATTTGATTCTTTTGTCATTTACACAAGTATAAAGCAGGAGTAATTCCACAGTGCCCAGTTTACACCTATGAGGGAGCACAATCTGGTTAATTGTCCACAGTGCCTTTACAAAATTCTATCTATACTCAAGGTTGTTATTTTGACAGGTAAGTAAAATACTACTATTTTACGTATTAACAGGTGAATGCATTTTGTGCCCAGCTCATAAAGTTTCAGAATACTTTGTTTTTAAAGAAGAACCATGATTTGTACATTGCAGTGCTTTCTCTATTGGCTTTTTTCCATACCACAGCACAGAAACCATAGGCCAGAAGGGCACATCAATGTTCAGTACAATGCCTATTGAAGTAAATAGAAAGGCAGTCATGTGCTGTCCTGAGAGGGTTTTTTAAAAGAAACTGAAAAACTCTGATCTTGGGTGGTACACAGGGTGATTTCCTGTTGCCAACACCCAAGAAGTTACCTACATGAAATTTCTTTTCTAACAGGTAGACAAGATTAATCACTAGGTCTTTATCAAATGAATAAGGATGTCTTTCATGGCTCAGCTGATGGAACGGGAAACAAAAGATATGATTTTTACTCTTGGATCCTCACAGACTTCCTGTGTGGGGTTAATTTGCTTCCACCTTGCCATCACTCCTGCCATTGCTGCTGCTGCTGGGGTCTTTGGGCTTCCCCTCCATTATCTGATTTCTGCTTTCTACCCCTGCCCTAGGGTTCCTGTGCAGGAGGGCAGGGGTCACCTGCGCAGTGTGGCAGAGCATGGTGTGGCATGGCATGGTGTAATAACGGGGTCCTTGTGTGGTAGGGGTCACTAGTGGAGGTACCAGTGGTGCAGCAGGGGGTTTGCACAGGGTGTGACTGAGGGGGGCCTGCAGGTTCAGCCCTTGGCTACTCTAAAGTTGGATGGCTCTGACCTAGATCTTTCTGTGTACCAGTTTCCCGTTGCTAAACACTAAGAATAATTATATTTTCCTGGCTAAGTTCATAAACTTTTGTAAGGAAATCAAATTCCACAAGGATAATCCCATAAAAATTAGGACCCTTCCTTTTCTGTGTCCTTGTGACAAGGGATTTAGCAGAGTTTGCAGATTTCATTGGAATCTGATAGGCAGCGCCATAAGCACTTCTGCTATGGCCTTGAACTTGTGACCTGCCACTTATGCACTTTAGCACCTGTGCCACCCCAGCCCCAAATATGAGGATTAAAATACTAAAAACAAAAGGCACAAGAAAATAAAACACAGACATAAAAGCAATAGTTAAACTAACTCACCTTAGGCATCTTTTCAGAAAATCCAGGAAAATGCCATCATGAGTTTTCAACACTGTACTTAGATCCTTGGAATCTGGATATCTCTTTTTCCCCCTGCTGTTAGTGATAGTTCTAGGAAAACCCCTGGAGTCTTTAAAAATAAAATATGGTTTTTCAGTCCTGTGATGAGTCCTGCACAGAACCCTCTGAGAAGAATGGAAGTTTTTTTTTATATGACACCCATCCCACTAGCACAAAGTTTTCCCTGCTGGGTGGATGTTCCTTCTTGCAGAACCATTTCAAATTACACAGGTTAAATGCTGCAGTGTTATTGATGCAGTTGTGTTATAGTCAAGTCAAATTATAATAATTTCTAGTCAGGTGCACATAAGATCCATTTGTTCCTGATTGCCACTCTACCTTTCATGCTCAGAACAGTGAAAAAATGTATTTTTTTTTTAAATGGGAAAATGAATACACAGATTTCCCAGACCCCCTCCCATCATCTTTGCCTTGAGATGTCCTTAAAGAATTGACAGCACATGACCAGGTTTTCCTATAGACCTCGTATTACTTAAATGTTCCTCAAAGCAGTGGTCAGATTAAGTTAGAAGAATCTGAGGTTCCTTTAATTCAGGGCTGCCCGACTGGGGGCCTACAGGAATTAATTGCATTCTCTGGGCTTCCCCTCTCTCCTCTAGCTTCCATTTCCAGCTGCCACTGCAGGGGGTGGGCCAGGGTGGTGCCATGTAGCACAGCCCACAGTGCTGGGGGATCCCATGGCTGGGGATGATGAGGCCGGTGCAAATGTGATGCAGCATGTGGCTAGCGTGCTCATGCTGGTACAGCCTGTGTGGTGCACAAGTACAGCCCACGGTGCAGCCAGCTGCTTAGAAGTTGAACAGGCTGTGTTCTAACTCCCATTCTCCATATAAGCATAAAAGGCAACAGCAGACTTCACTAGCACTGTCAGCAGAACACAAGAAAATAAGACAATCATAGGTATTTACCGAAGAATGTTCGCCTTCTTGATGCAGTCTGAACAAAATCAGAAGGTGGAAGACCCAGTACCTTTAAGACACAAAATTAAGAGAAGGGGTAAGTCACTGTTTCATGAGCTGTGGCTGGGGAGGTGCTGTTCCTGCTCTAATTTAAAAGGCAGCCCCCACTGGGGCAAGTCACAGTAACATGTCTACTCAATTTACAATGCTCTTTCCCAGTCCTGAGGCTTACCCTCAGGAGGCACATCTACACGAGACGCTACATCTACAGTGACATAGCACTGGTAGACACAAATCGTGATGCTGCTGCCACTGCTCAGTAGCGACGAGCTACTGCACGGTAGCTTGTTGCTACTGCGCAGTAGGGTTGGAAACAACCTGCATGGCACCAGGACTGCATGCGCAGTACTGGCAATTACTTTTGCTAAAGCAAGTAGTAAATGACTATGTAGTAACAACTGTGCAGTTGGGTGCACATGTAGACATGCCCAGGGACTCTCTGGAATATTATTCCTGCTGACTGCAGATGAGATCAGAGGTGGGAGACACAAGCTGTCCCTGGAAAAACTGTGAACATATTAATTAGGAATTGTATGGACTTAGGCCTTGAAATGGTTTAAAAATCAGAGATGTAGACACTGTCTGGTACTAGGCAACAGCACGACTTGTTCTTATTTGTCAGCCAATCTAGATGAGTAACTGCAGCACATTGGGCATGTGTACAAGTTCATTAATATGCCATAATTATTAGGGCTGTGCGAAACAGCAGTGTTCTGCTTTGACTTCCATTTTGACGGAACAGTGTTTCGTTTCGAGTTTCATTCTGTTTTGAAAGCACTGTTCCATTTAGTTTCATTGAAACAGTTTTGCTGTTTTGATGCTGTTTCGATGTTTCGCCCATAGGCTATAATGGGAAAGCATGAAACAGCCTATAACTTCCCCCCACCAGGCTCAGTTCTCCAGGGCTGCAGGCTGTTGGGAGCTGAGCCTGGTGGCAGGAGGCACTTCCCTCCACCAGGCTCAGTTCCCCAGCACTGCGAGCCGCTGGGAGCTGAGCCCAGTAGTGAGAGGTGCTACCCCCTATCAGGCCCAGTTCCCCAGCACTGGGGACTGGAGCAGAGGCAGATTGGGGGAAGATGCTGGCTGTGGCCCCGGCCTTTGCCTCCCGGCCAGGTTTGCAGGGCCGGGAGCAGGGCCCCCTTGCCTGCGCTCCGATCGCCTGGGGCTGGACAGCGGCAGGACACCTCAGTGCCGTGGGTCCTGCCCCATTGCAGGGGCTTGACATGGGCTCCTGGGCCGGGCGAGACCAATGGGTGGCCGCAGAGGCTGCAGTTCACCCGTGAGCTCTGCTGGCCTGGCCACCAGCCTGGTCCCTGCTTTGCTCAAACTTCCCAGTCCTCTGCTGGGGGGAGACACCTTCACCCTGGAGCTGGAGGAGACGGTCCCAGAGCAGGGTGAGAGAAGGCAGAGGAGCGGCCCCCGATCCGCCGGTGAAGAGGAGCATAGACTGTTGAGGGTCACGTGCTCCCCCCTCCCCTGCTGGGAGCTGAACCCAGTGGCAGGAGGTGCTTCCCCACACTGGGCTCAGCTCCGAGCAGCTCGCAGTGCTGGGGAACTGAGCCCAGCAGGGGGCAGTGCCTATCACCACTGGGCTCAGCTCGAGCAACTGGCAGCACTGGAGAAGTAAGCCTGGTGGGGGACGCGGAGCAGAGCACCGGGCTCAGCTCCCAGTGACTCGCAGCCCTGTGCAACACTATTCACCATGGTGAACCATTCTAGCACCAAAAGAGGAGCAGTGACTTCCCAAATCAACCTGTCTGCTTCAAGAGGTCCCCTAGATGTGCTAAGTGCTTCTCTCACAGCCAGCCCACCTCCAAAAATCTCCCAGAGTCACTTCATATTTCTTTTTGTTGTTGAGAGTGTGGTTTAGCAAATGAAGAGCTAACATTTGATTCTGAAGCTCATTTCAATGAGCTCCTGGGGCAGGAATTCTTCAAAGAAGCCATGAAAATACAATTTCAGCTCAGTGTTTTATATATACATACATATACATAAAAGAAATTTTGGCAGCTACCTCCATGATACAGGCCAGTTGCTCAACTTCATTCTCTCCAGGAAAAAGGGGATAGCCAGTGTAAAGTTCAGCCATGATGCAACCCAGACTCCACATGTCAATAGCCATGGCATAGGGATGACCAAGAATTACTTCAGGTGAACGATAAAATCTGCTCTGAACATATGTGTACACTACATTTAAAAAGAAAGTTGGATATAGGGGTTATCCAGGGAATGTATTTATATCACAGGATTGTAGATGTTAGAGAAAGGGAATGCACATGAGGTTCCTGAATCCCTCTTTCAACTGCCAGAAGAGAATTACTCTCTACAGCACTTTCCTAACACTTTGCCCAGTGCCACTGTAGACTGCAGAAGTGAAATGTTTCCTATTACAGGTTTCCCTCGCTTTATGCTATACATGCAGTCCTGGAAAATGGTGCATAACTCGAATTCGCATAAAAGGAACCCACTTTACAATGTAACGAATAGGGATATGTTCCAAGACCTCAAGTATACTGACCCCAGACGCATTTCTACCACTTTTACAAGACAATTTTGGCACTCACCAACAGCAGACACTACACACAAGCACAGGGCACTATCATAATGGGGCTGGCAACTATAGAAACGTGTTGCAGACAATGAGTGAGGAGCACACAGATCCACAAAGGAGCCTATATTTTGGTGTGTGTCACTCCCACAATGCACCGCACAAAGTAGCTGGCTGTGGGCTTTCACCACACCAATCTCATACAAGTGAATTTACCTTGCATATAACAAGGTTTTGGTATAAAAAGAGTCACTGCATAAGAGCGATTTGCACATACAGAACCTACATAAAGAGAGGGAAACCTGTACTTCTTTTGGAAACTATGCCATAGTACAACAGATTTCACTGGTAGGAAAATTCTACTAATAGGCTAATTTAACATAAAATATCTGTTGTCCATTTCCTTACTTGCATTTATATCACTCTTTCAAGACTGAACAATTCTCCTCCTGTCTTTGGTAAGACTTCTTATGGCCACACCCTTGCAGTGGGATCTGCTAACACTGAGCCATCCCCTCCGCAGAGATCCACTGGGTGAAATTTTATTCCCAACTGATATCAGTGCCAATACTCCCACTGATGTCAGTGGGGTCAGGATTTCATCACTGTCCTAATTTGGATGCTATGATTGCACAGGAGGTGCCACCAAGTGATTTCAGTCCAGAATTGAACCATAGTGAACAAACTAACACTCTTAGTTCATATTCAGCCAAACCACATACAATTGCAGTACAATAGCCCTGTTAATTTTCCCTCCTACAATCCTGCCAGCCTGTTGATCCTTTTATTTGTTTTTTCTTGTTTTAATATCCTCTGGTTCAACACCTTTGTGGGAGAGAGGTGCTCTGAAAAAGAAGCAGTATTTTGGGTGTAGCTTTACCAGACCTCCATAAAGAAGGATTAACAAATGACTTTACACATAAACTCCCCAGCCCCCACCCCAGAGCAGGGGCTGGGAGCTCCCTGCATGGGGAGAGTTCCCTACCCAGCCTGGAACTGGCTCGGATTGCCCCTGTCTGGGATAGTCCTCAGCCAGCCCTGGGCAGTCCCCAGCCAGCTCTGGGCTGCATGTGCAGACTTCATTGCACAGCCTGGGGCTGGCCAGGAACTGTCCTGGTTAGGGGCAGGTCCCAGCCCCATGCCCTGATTGAGGTGCAGGGCTTGGAAAGAGCTGCAGTGGAGAGGAAGATCAGCCCCCTGCTCTGATCCACCAGTGGGGCAGCCAGCAGTGGGGAATCTCCACCCAGCTGGGGTCTCGCAGCTAGTTGCCCCACCGGCAGATGGGGCAGGGAGCTGGGACCTTCCCCTCCTCTGCAGCTCTTTCCAAGTCCTCTGCTTCCAACTGGGGAGCCAAGGCCAGGAGCTCCCTGCTGCCGGGGCAGGGGAACATTGTCCTCACCTGGGCTCCAGTGGTGGAGCCCATCCTGGCAGCAGGCAGCTCCCAAGGGCACAGAGAAATCTCTCAGCCCCTGCCAGGAGACCACTGTCTCCTGGCTCCATGCACCCTGCCAGCCCCTGAGCTGGCACCCAGGGGGAGCCTAGAGCTCTCCCTAGCTGCTGCA